TTATTTATAAATTATTTATTAACACTTGATCACAAAACAGACAAACAGTAAATATCAAATAACATATTATTATTTATTACATACATCGAATGATAACATTGTGTTAATTAAAACTTATATTTGTATGCTGTTTTTATGTTAAAATTATACAAGCGTACGATAAGTATCATTGAAAATAATGATAATACTAATAATAATTCAATTATTAAGTTCATCACTTTTAAAATATTCAAAAGATTGTAGATATTTTTTTATAATATTATTCATTTGATATCATATCATAGTTTTTTTTTTTTTAATTTATAGGAGGCTGGCAAGCTGCTTTCAATGAATACGTGTTTTGTATAGTTTTGTAGGTAGTTAGTAAGCAGATAACCGTATTTAGTAATACAAATAATAATTCGAGAATAAGATCACTGGTAGGTAGGTACTGTAGAACTGTAGATACTTCTTAGAATTACTTCGAGGTCTAAAGAGATGAAAGGCTATACCTAGCTATACGTCTAAGTATAAATGGCACAAACATGTTAAGCATTGTTATTTAATTAAAATTATCTATGTTCAAATCACTAATCTCTAAGCACTAATAAAACGTTTGGTCATAAGGACACACTATTTTAAGACAGAAAATAAATCATTCAAATTTATGAAAAATAATTTTAAAATCTACAATCTGCAAATTAATTAATTAATTGGATTAGATAGTTTGTAAGTATAATGAACCTTAAATAGTGAATATTTTGTTACCTTATTTATTTTATAATATATGAATTAAAAACCACAATCGTCATCTAACTAAAGAATGTTTCTATTAAAAAATTAAAAATTAAATGAAACAATCGTGAGCTTAAATAATTATTAGTTTCAAATTATTTTAATTGAAAAACTAATAATACTTATAAAATTCGTATAAATATAAAGGAAGTGTACCTATTTGTTTATTCGATGGCTTATGACATTATGTTTCTCTGTATTATATTATACTTCAATCGTTACAATTACATAGCCTAGTTTAGTAAGCAAATAAAAAATGTTAACTTTTAAGTCAACGCATCACTCATTATTCTAATACCTATATGTTTAAGACATTTAAGTCCCTAATTTATTATAAAACGCATGTTTAATATTTATTTCGGTTTATTTTAAACGTAGGTATACATGAAATAATAAAAAAATATACTTTTCTAATAACAATGATATGCCTTCATTGTACGAAACGTAGTGAAAATAGATCATGGAAGGGGGTGTTTTGAGGGATTAAGAACTCTTGTAAGTTGCAGTGAGATACTAGAATTTAACATAATTTTTTGTTTTACATATTTTGTTGGTCTAGTATTGTATAATATAATTATAATATAATATTTCTAGAAATGATTTGCGGATATTATTTTTATACACAGACATTTCTACCTTATTCAGTAGGTATCTGCTAATAATAAAATGAAAACTGTGTGGAAAAGATTTTTCACATTMATATCATTATATTTGATATTTCGTTGTTATACATTATGAGTGCGCTCCGTTYCAAACCGGTCGCACGCGTTACGATTTCCTTCTCCAATTCTCCGGACCATGTAAGGCACTCCCACTCAAATCTTATAAAAATCGATGATGCAGCCTTCCTCCGCAGGACAGCGGGGATATACGTAGGTAGCCGGTTTATACGGCGCGAATACGCGAGATATTGAGACATACCCAAAATGGAAATCGAAGGAGAACGTATRTACCTAAATACACGCACACGCGCAGCGATTGCATATATTATGTGCACGTAATATGTATATAAATATAAAGTCTGATTAACATTTTCAATATGTTTTCATAACGACGCGATTGACCATATTTGGTGGTTTTTGTAGTGATCAAAATAATATAAAATATTTTGTGTTGTGTGCGGTGCAATCTACTCTAACCTTCGGCAAAAAATGATTTTTCCATCAATCACGGTCTGCTCCTCGATTTCCAGTGTAAATCGTTACATACTATATATTACAGAGGTATCGCACATRTTTGCGATCGGTTTACTATTTGCGATTTTTCGGGGGAATTGTTTTTTTAGCAACGAGTGACATATTATTTTATTATATCTACGGATACACATTATGAGCGTCTCAAAGTCAGTTTAATAATATTACATACGTCTACCTAATATTATATTATATTGCTCACGTATTGTTGGAGTTACGAACTATACCGACTATCCTATAAGGCGATTAATGGTTGGAAAGACTTGGAGGAGTTATTGACCCTCAAGACCTCAACGCCGTTTACCGAGCACATATATAGGTATGTTTTAATCTCTCCCCTGCTCCTCATCCTACCAATATATGTATATATATATATATATATATGACCTGCAAATATCCACCCACGCGAACTAAAATATCGGTATATAGATTACATACCTATATATAAATTGCCATTAAGCCATACAAGAGTATATATACTGCAGCAGTACATATTATATGTGTCTATGCATAATATATACGAATACGACTTCCCACTCGTTATATTTTACAGTCTAAAAAACTATAGTCGGGTTCTATACATTCGTCCTACTGACTCAGTTTATTATTACTCCGKTGTATGAATTATTTTTATGAATGAAAGCGTATTATAACTACAATCCGCACCGGCAGGTGTCATGTCAGTGCGCAGCCCATCATCTATAGCCAGTCCGATTATATAGGTGGCCTGCAGATAGGTACCTGCTCGACATTTGCTCTTGCAGKTAACCTGAGCTTTTTTTTACATAGGTAGATCGAACCTAAAAGCACAGAAATTTAAAAATATATTTATTAGATTTCCAACAAGATATCATCAACTAACTAACGCCTTGACGGCCTGYGGGGGCCCACCGTGATGAGCCATACACTGTCATCACTGAATGTATATAATGGGTGATCGATACAATAATATTGTGGGTTCGTCACTACAATGTTTCGATCGCGCAAACGATGCCGGATCGATAACAAATTATATTTACACAATAAAAGTCCTAAAAAAGACATCGCCGTTCACCATAGRAATAATTTTATCATTCGTATCTAAACACGTATTACATTAAACAGTAAACACGCACTAGCGTTCTGTGTAGGTATAATAATAAGTCATTATAGGATGTAATAATTTCGTAATGTCCGTGGATTCTTACCGTTGATTGGACGTAAAACAACACAATGTATTTTAAGTGCTAATAACGACCATTTAAATAACAAACATTTCAGCTGTATAATACCTACGTACATTGGTGGAGGATATTATTCAGAAGCAGACACTTCTAAATTATTATTAATTTTKAGTCGAGTTTGAATATCGGGTGGGTGGATATAGCTTATAATATCATGTTTTGTCTGTGATGTCGTATTATGGTTATGTTCGTGTAGCACAACAACTAAATAATGACATATTATACCTATAGAGCATTAGGGCATACAGGCTATAGCATTATTAAAATATACTACTCTAATGTAGATCTGCAGTATAATAATTAACAGTAGGTAATTATTGTAAACGGATCAGAGCAGGTCAGTAGCGTGTTTATAAAAATAAATTGGTGTCACTTAGATGATTGTAGGTGACCTAAGTCCTACCGACAGCTACCCCTTATAATATTGTCGCTCCGAATACGCCGATAAATGTTAATAACAGTTGTTTATTATTTAACACACTTGATGCAATTTTATAAATAGGTTATTGTTCTAGTAAAACGTATTCTTTGATTAAACTTACCATTAAATCCACTAAGCCTAAATTATAATATATCGTGTTTCTATTATTATTTATTTCACTATTATATAGTATTAAATCAATACCCACAACCCAACCCCCTACCCAGTAGTACCCACCAACCAGAGTAAATAAAATAATACCCTTATTTCAACAATTAATCTGAACATAGGTATAATATGGACAACCGTTTATAAAAGTACCCATATAGTCATATAGAGATGTGGTGTGTTAGTTGTCATATCGTGTTGAATTTGTATGAATATTTTCGATCGTTGCTTTTTAATGCTTACAAGTATAATTCCTACAACCTACCTATAATATGCTAAAATACGTRCCTACCTGCAGCTATTATAATACCTAACTAATATAAGTGCCTACACAAGTGTGATTTTATTATAATATAATTGTATAAATTCTCACCATTCGCTGATCACTATTCATTATAGCTGTGTTATACATTTATTCTTATTTATTTCGTATCAATAAAAGTATAAATTTGAAACAGTGTTATCTTGAGTCTCTGTACACCTACTGCTTGTAAAATGTAATTCAACATACCAACAAACTCGTATTTTATCTGTACAATGGCATCGCGAAGGCTGCATAAAAAAATGCATTATTTATTTATTTTGAATTTGTTAGTGCCACTGCAGTGTTGATAAAAATTACGAAAAGAAATAGGTCTGAACTCCCACAAAATATACGTGGGAAYATAAYTTTTATTATTCTTTCAATCGGACTATTGTGTGCGTGAAAATATAGTGTATTGTGTACCCATATTATTATTTACGTCATATGGTATACATTTAGTGTTTATTGTTAGAAACTTAGAAAGGTAAAAAACTTAAAATGTATATACTTACAAAAACTCATCAATTGTACCTATTCGATAAACGGATAAATCTATGTGAGCTATTTAAGCACCATCGTCTATTACTAATGGATGTGATTTTATTTATTTATGATGATTAGATATTTGATATTAACTTTTATTTTATATTTTACTGTAGTAGAGCAAAACAAAAATACGTTTCAATTGTACGTAATTAGGTATACACGTATTACCTATCGTATACAGTTGACTCAAAACATCCATACAGACATACAGTTAATATGTCGATTGGAAATTGAACACAGTCACAAGTAATACAAGTTATTTTCAAGAGTTAGCGAAAAAATAAAAATAAAAAACAAATTTACCCAACCATAGAGTATAGGCAATGTATTATACCTACTTCGATTTAATATTAGATAATATATAGATGTTACAATTTAAATGTTTGATTACTTGTTGTTTTGGTACTTTTCGGTTATCGTACCCCAACGGTCGGCCGGCCGACTGCGGCAGCGGTCGGGATACCTATACCATTGATTATAGAATAGATATTCTATATTCTATAATCAATGCCTACCTATACCGATTCCGTTCTCGTACCCCATTATATTTGTCTCAATGCTTCCATCATAAAAATATTTTTTATTTACAATAATTTTTTTGGTATTCATATTGTATTGGTAATAATACTTTATTATAATTTTTTTTTTGTATTGATGTTTTATTATACTTTATTGGTATTTATATTTTATTATAATTTCTTTGTACTCATATAATTTCATATTATATTATTTTATTAAAATAAATKATATTTTTGGCAATTATTTATTTATTCGTATGGCAATAAAACTTGACAATATTGAGATAAATATAATGGGGTACGAGAACGGAATCGGTATAGGTATTCCGACCGCCGCCGCAGTCGGCCGGCCGACCGTTGGGGGTACGATAACCGAAAAGTACCGTTGTTTTTTATGTAGGTATTACTTGATATTACATTTTAATAATATATAAAAAAATTATTTATTTACAAATGTATTTAATTTTAATAGTAAATTTGCTATAGAAAAACTAGTTACATAAAATTAATATACTAGTACCGAGTAGTACCATTGTGGCACTGTACAAGTCTAATTTCGATMATTAAAATGCTCAACTAAACTTTAAATACCTACTTATAACTATGGTCTGGATTTTAATATAAAATGCATTATTTTTAAGGAAGTACCTGGCAATGCTTTTCAATTATATAAAAATTTTTCATGCATCAGAATTTACCTAAACCTAATTTAATCTTGATGTTTTTTAGTGTACACATTGCAATTATTATGTACATTTTCAGATCAAACCTTGTTGGTAATTAAAAAAAATTGGTTCCGATCATTTATTTATATTTAGTGACGTACCTACCCAAAACATTTGGAATGGGRCTGAAGTGTCTCAGTAAGTTTACCTTTTAGATCATATACTAGATAATATTATGAGTTCCGAGTTTTRACCACATCATTGTGAATCATACATAGCAGCGCTATCTAACTGTTAAATTGAGCTACTGTAATGGCCAGTTATTTACGTAGGTGCGTTTAAAGTCAAAATGATTTAACGGTAGTAGATAGCACTGCTGTTACCGAATTTAAATCAAAATAAAATTACATAATTACTGGATAATGCCGTTAGCTGTTTTAAGTTAGATTACATTTTAGTAAACGTAATCAAACCCAACTAAACCCAACTAAACCTAACCAAACCCAACAAAACAGCACGAGGCTGCTAGTTAACTCGTGGCCATTAAGTTATGTACCTAGGTGAAATAGTCCATATATTTTATCAATTTATAGACTTTACTTATGATTTATGACTCAAAGTAAAATGTATAAATAYCTGAAAAACAATAATTAATTTTACCTCAAATAAATTAAAATTTTAGACACTTTTATCACCTACTCATTGATTATGGTGAGTCGTGACTCGTGACTCGTGAGTGGTGAATAACCAAAACTTATGGTCCAAAAGTCAAAAATGAATCTTTAAAAGTTAATGTTGTAATAGTATAGTAATTTTTTGTGGATCCCATGCCCTAGACGTTACCCTCATATTTCCTTTAATAATGCATTTATTGAAATTCTAATTTTTAAAATTTATTAGYGTATACCTTTTTTTACCAAAAATAAAAAACCCGGGCCGGGTGGGAACTTTTTAGCACAATACTGCCACTCAGTACCATACAATTTATTCACCAATTAACTTTAAACTTTTTAACTCATACATACGTGGGGGYCTCAATCAACCTAATTAATATTATATACCTAAATTGAGTTTAAATGACCATAACTCGGTAAGTTGGGTCTCGGTGTAACATGTCCCTATGCAAAAAAGATGGTAGGTAAGTTGGGTCCCGTGAAAATAAGATTGTTGGTCGTGCTATCCCAGCTACTAATTAAAAAAATAACAAAAAAATTTCATTATTATTATTATATAGAGCAGCAAATTACCAAACCCACGACCCACCAGTAATTTTATAATTCAATTTGAGTTTATTAAATTATTATTAATTGAAGTTTTTACTGAGTACATTATATATATATTAAAATAAATATAATAATAATGACATTTATTTTAATTTTTTATTAATTTGTATTTGTAATGTTTTAGATTAATGTAAATAAAGTATTTAACAGTATAATCATATGAAATTTATTTTTGATTTTTTTGATTAGTAGCTGGGACTTACAATCTTTTTTTTTTTCAAGGGACCCAACTTCCTACTKGCAGTTTTTTCCCAGGACTCAATTTACCGCCTTCAAAATGTACCAAACTTATCTCGGATCTAATTTACCTAGCCCTTAAATACCTACTTATTAACACAAGGGACATATTTTAAAATATTTGGATGTTTATACCATTATTAAGGTCAGTTCTGTGAGGATACAAMTAACAAATGTCTTTGTTTCAAATAAGTATCAACATTTTTATACTTTAAATTTATTGTTAAGCAGATGATTTTTTCAAAAATGTAGATTGTTAGACCTGTTCTGATATGAGGGTCAGTAGAAGGAATTACTCACACTAATAACCATTTACAACTTACAAGTGAATGCTACTGCATACTCACAAGATCTCGCAATACTGAAACGATATGTGAATTAGGTTGCCAATAATTTGCTCCTTAATAAATAGCGCCATTGWGAGCCTTAAATAAAAATTCGAACGAGWTGTTTCTGAGTTATTAAAATATATATTTATTTTTTTACCTCTTAAAGATAATAGTCCTTAAAAATGGTTTTACAAAAATATTGTATATATATGTAATATTTGGAACAAGTATTTATTCTACTTGGTCACTTAGACAATCAATACAATTTATTTATAGAATGCTCAACGCTGGTGGATTAATATTAATTAGTAACATTTTTAAATTATGATAACCAGTGGAGCAACTAGTGGAGGAGTATTGGGGCTGTGACTCCCCCCCCCCGAATTGATTTTAAAAATTAAATATTTCAATGTTAAGACCTTTTTTCTTGATTTGTTAATTTTTTTATATGAATAATCCCTCCCGAAAATAGATCCTAGTTGCGCCACTGATAATAACTATATAACTCCCATTATATCACAACCCCATTTAACATAAAATGTTCGTATATAAATATAGCCCTTAGTTCACAAAGATATACAAAGACTATTTCTTTTATTTCTTTATTTAGATACGTACTAATTAAAAAAAAAGAATAATCTGGACTCTGAAGAACAATTTAAAATAAAAAGAGCAATTCTCGCCAAAAAAATGTAAGACAGTAWCGCTTCATACTTCATACAGCTTTATTTAAACACCGTGAACACCATGAACACAATAGTACTAAAAATATAGGACTCGAGTATAGATTTAAACATTAAAATCAATACTTGAATAAATTCAGTAGTATTGAATGAAAATTGGGTGTGAGTATTTTTTGGGAATCTTCATGTAGGTATACAGAATAATAATAAAATATTAAAATACTTTTCCATAGAAACACCATAATAATACTATTTTTTTTTTTATATATATACGGGCATAGAGTATTGTGGACTGTGGACTATAAATCTTGACAAGAAAGATCTACACGGACGCGTGCAGCATCRCCACGACTATTATAGACATTATTATGACCATGGCAGCGTGGCTGCAAATAGTGCGCATAGTATACTCAATCGGGTTTCCGCACGGCGCACACGACAAGTGGGCCAACACCGCTCAGCTGTTCTCGGCTGAGCGGCAACCTTGTTCCATTGTGTCCCTCCCGCCCCCGACACGCCGCGTGATGCCGTAGTCCTCACTCCTCCTGCCGCCGCCAACGAGTACAACTGATAAAATATGATAATAACAATATTATAACATTTATATATTATGTATATTGTGTACGAGATTGTATAAAAATATTAGTATAATACTTTCGTACGTCCGATCGTTGCGTCGAGTAAAACGTTTATTATTTTTTTTATTTGTCGATATCACCTTCCCGTACTCTCGTCTCCACTCTCGCGGTCTCCGATGCCGTCTAGGCCGTTCCGATACCGCCGCGACCCATAACACGCACAAGTCAGAACACGCGCGACGACTCTGCAGCCGCCGTCGACGATCTGCGCCGCGTTTCCTCTTCGTACCAAGTCGTCATCGTCCCGTTATCTTTGTTATTGTTTTTTTTTTTTTACGTTCGTTTTTTGCTATTTTTTACTCACTCCCGCAGCTCGCTCTGTTCGCCACACCACCACGACCACGGCACTATTGAAGTCTGCCGTACGAGGACACACGATCGCACTTGCGATTCACGAGTTACATATTACACACATAATATTATTATCGTTGTTATATACGTGCAATAGTAATTATAGTGTTATTTATTTTATAAAAAACATACTAGGTATTATCGTTTACTGTTGTTGTTATTACTATTATTACGCATAAGCAACAACTTTCGGACCACCGCCGCCGCGTCGTTTGATTTCGTAGGACGAATAAAAAAAAAAACATATACCTAATATCCGATAGAACGCAACGCACAAACGTCGTACGCGCACGCACACGGTCGTCCAATAATAATTATACATAGTGTTGCTGCGGTGTATCGTCGTTGTCATTCCGTGTGGCCTGCTTGTCGATTCGTTTAACTTAACAACAAAGATCGTAATAATAAAGAAAATAATGCGCAGTGTGCTTGCCATAGTCATTTGAAGAAGAACACCGCCGCCACGGCTTCGTAATGATGCGCCTTTTGTGAAAGATAAATTTTTGAATTTTCATTTTTTCCTAAACCCATACCATACCGATATAAAATTTACGACGACAATATACTGCAAACGCACSRATCGCCGTGACGACACATCATTTATGGCTATCAATCAGATACTGTCGTCGAGCGCCCACMGAGCTCTAGCACACGAGTACAAGAGTCTTCAGGATGAACCCGTCGAGGGATTCAGAGTGAAGCTGATCGAGGACAATCTACGAGAATGGGAAGTGGCCATATTCGGACCACCSGAAACCCTTTACCAAGGAGGGTATTTCAAGGTGCCTTATTTTTGTGTGTTATATCATTTTTGTTTTTGGTTAGGTTTACATATATTTCGATTGGATTGTTCTGAACATATCTWATGGCATTTACATTTATGTAGATAAGGTTAGGTTTATGTGCCAATAATGGTTTGTTTTCATTGTATTTTGTCAAATTCAAATGATTAACAGTGCACATCTAGTAGATAACAAGTTTGTTATTTACATTTTCCATAATAGGAATCTACTTACAGTACYTACCAATCTATATACTTAACTTACCTACTCAATGCCTACAACATTTAATTTGAAGCTTGGTATAACATTATATATTTATTTTCAATGCATTTCTTTATTAAATAAAAATATGAAATTTGTATTTGCCATTAGATATAACTAAACATTTTAATCGCTATTGTTTGTCTTATCTTTTAGAYAAACATTAATTTGTGATTATATCTGTTATATAGGTACATGTGTACAGAGCCATCCTAGAATTTTTGGTGGCCCATAGGCACCCAGAGCTTAGGAGCCCTTTTAGTAAACCAAAAATAGTTGAATTTTAACAATGAAAGTTTATTTTGTATGATGACTTTATCAGTAGAATTTTGAATCATATTTGCTTGGACGGTCATATTAATACATTATAGCTTAAATTTAAAGTTGTAATTTCTTTGATTTGGCGCCATGGACTCATTCTCCACTTGGCCATTGGGTAAAGATGAAACTACTTGTATATCTTAGGTATAGATGAATTCATATTTTTATCAATTAAAATGTATTCATATATATACYTACAATTTTAAATATTATCATCTTACACAGTATGTTTATCAGTTTTATATGTAAATATAATAAATACTACTCTTAAAATTAGAATATGTAGRTACTAAATTAAAATTAAAAACCAAACATAATTATATGTTAAACATTGGGTAAAACAAAAAATTTGATTTTGATTTTTTTGTTTTATTGGAAAGAAAAAAATAATCAATACACACTTGTAAAATTTGTTATTCTGATATCAAAATATATACTTCTCTACATGAATCGCGTGATAGGAAAAGTCACCCTTGACTATTGTTAAAATGCAGGGTATAAGTTTGGTAGTATTTAGGTGTAAAGTAAGGAATAAAATTCTATATCTATTTTGTCAGAGTGAAAAGACACAATTCCAGTTTTTTTTTACTTTGTGTGTAATAATTGCAATTCCCTGCTATTTTCCGCCATATACCTCTGTAGTTTAATTTTTTACATTATCTATGGCTCATATCTAAATTCTCATACATATTATTATGTCATTAGAATAATATTTAAATTGTAAAATAATGTGTATTAATATTATATCTTATATAAACTAATACATATTATCCAATATGTATTTCATTAAATTAAATAAAAACTGTAAAAAAAGCCAGTTTTTATTTAAAACATATCGGACTTTTAATTCTTACCCTCTCCCTATGGGGGCAAATCCCCTCACATCCTCCCCTGTTTCTGTTAGATTTAGGTCATAGTATTTTCAATATTCAACATTTATTATTTTGAGATATAAATTTTACCTGTAACTAGAATCTGATTCTTAAATTTACTTACCTACCTACTTAGTCAAATTCTTAAAATCATAATATTCAATAGGTGGATCCTAGAAGTTATTTTTATGATTTATAATGAAACATAATTCTATTTTAAATGTAAATAATCAATTAAATTTTGGTATTGTTTTATAGGCCCATATGAAGTTTCCTGCAGACTATCCATATTCGCCACCAACTATAAGATTTCTGACAAAAGTTTGGCAYCCTAATGTGTATGAGGTATGTTCCTTATATTTGAAYTTGATATTTATAATTTATAAAAAGAGTATTATAATAAGCAACAAATAAAAAGAATTATAAAATAAGTTGGTAGTGTTAGGTAAGTATTTACTGAAAATAAAAATTTAACACCAAAAATCAGATGTAATATTTTGAAGAGATAGGTTTATACCATTACAATTAAATTAAAGGTCAATTAGAACTAATTATTATCTAGTTCAAAACTGTATTGATTATGCAACATGTAAATTTGTTTAGCCACATGTATGGTAAATGGAAACAACAAATAGACAAATAATCGCTGATGCTTAATTTTAAGTTACATAATATTGTATGAAGTTCAATACAACTTAGAAAAAAAATGAAACTTGAAAAACTTGAAAAAAATTTAAATATATTTATATACCTACTRCATTTTCTAAAATTATAATAATTTTCTATTGTAATAAAGTAATGATAATGTATGTTTGTAAAAATAAAATATATATAGATTATAGGTAATATATTATATTGTTGTTTTAAATGATACATATTAATTTTTAACTAAAATAGTAGATAATTGTTGAAAAAAATATTAGATGTCATACAGATATTTTGTTGTAATACTTTGTGTATCAGGGACAAATGTAAGGAAAGTCACAGTAACCTAGGAGGTCACTGCCAAGTTCCTGTCCTTTTAAAGAACAAATTGGTTCTATTGAGCCTATTACTACTTGAGATACCACTATGTGTTATGAGAATACCTGTTTAGTTGTAACATCAAGGTAAAATGATAAGTAGGATTTTGTTTATGGCCCCAAGTGAGTTCAATATTTATTCATTTGTTAAGAAGGTCACATTAAACATCATATACTAAGCTATAATATTATCCATATAAATTGTGTATGATTATATAAGTCATGATCAATATTTTTATTAAAAAGATAGAAGGATAAAATTTAATAAAATAACTTAATACATTATTAGTTTATATTAATATGGGTATTCTAACATAACTGTATTGATCACTTTAACGTAATTTTATTTGTATTTATTGACCAATATTGAATGATAATAATGTTCTGATGATAATTAATTTATCAACAACAATAACTATACATATAGGTAATATAGATGGATACATTTAATTTAAAGGCTGAGATAAATAATATAGCATTTTGATTGTCTGTTAGATATCTGTTTTCATAAAACTAGGGTCTAGGAGACAGGAGTTGTACCAGCAGTGGTTTAAATATAATACAAAGAAAGCGTGAAATTTAACACTTTCTCAAAAAATAGGTTTTTGAACAAATCATACTAGAAAATTAATCACTGTAGTTATTTCAATTCTATATTTAAACATCTCACCCATATTTCAATTGATATACTATTATTCTTTTAAAATATATTTAATAATTTTTATCACTCCTTTCTAAAAAAATATTATTACATACATAATGATTTGGTTATTTATAGATGTTTCGTGTTTATGTAGGTCAAGGTTAATGGGTTTTTAAATTGTAAAATATTTGATTTCATTATAATATATGTTTTTTTTCCAGAATGGTGATTTATGTATTTCAATTCTTCATCCACCAATAGATGATCCTCAGTCAGGAGAGTTACCATGTGAAAGATGGAATCCTACCCAAAGTGTCAGGTAACTATCTCTAAAATATGCAATTTATTAATTGATGTCACGCTTTCACTATTTTTCTGTTAAAAATAAAAATAAAATAACCATTAACTGTGTTCTTAAATGTGATACATTATTTTGTTTTATATCTATAGGACAGTATTACTATCTGTTATTTCTTTACTAAATGAACCAAATACATTCAGTCCTGCTAATGTAGATGCTTCCATAATGTACAGACGGTGGAAAGATTCTAAAGGAAAAGATAAAGAATATGAAAATATAATTAAGTAAGTTATTTTTTAACTGAAATATTTTATTAAAAATATATTATTAGTTGTCATGTTAATTATGAATGATTATTTCAGAAAACAAGTTGTAAGCGGCCGATTAGAGGCTGATAGAGATGGTGTTGTGGTTCCACTTACGCTAGAAGATTATTGTAAAGTGAGTCATGTTTCTCGTTCTTCAGCTGCTGCTGCTGCTATGGATAGTGATTTTTATGTAGAAGACTATGACTTAGATGTTGAGTCTGATGCAAACTCTGAAGAAGAGTATCAGGATGATGCTACTGATAGTGGCAATGGTGAATCGTGAAACCAATCAACTATTAGGCGTTTACAAAACATTTATCATTGTTCGACAAAATAATTTAAGCCATTGATTTATGTTCWGTTTCTGGGTCAATGGTCTCTTTGCATGTGATCTTAAACATTAAGACAACAATATGTGACATTGTTCTGTTATCCTACAGTCACTTATACACGGTAGGCTTTCATTTATCTCTGTATACATAAATACTTTCATATACATACATAAGTATATATTTATATACATATTATTTTTGTGTTTTCTCCAAATTTTAAGTAAACTATATAATTTTTTTAATTATTTACCACTAAAAAAAATGAATAATATAATATCTATTGACTTAGTTTATAACTTCTCGATCATCCCATCATGTATAAACTTAATCCTTCTTAAAATGTTTTATTACTTTAATTATTTCTGATTTTTTATTCCTTGTAGGCAGCTTATATGACTGAGAATGTTGTTTATCAAATTGAAATAATTGTGGTATTGCTACACTCTTGTAGATAGTAAATTGAATTTAATGTTTATTGTTGTTTTCAATACTTATGTCTTATATATGTGATAAAAAAATAAAAAATGAGTTCATAACGTGAGATAAATCTTTCATAATAAATTCATTATTTTTTTTTTTTTTTTTTTTGGTCTATTTTAGTACTCTAAAATTTTTGTTAAGAATTATAAAACAAAAAATAGTATACCTACCAATGTATATGATAAAAATTTTAATGATGTCTTTAATTTGTTCACTATTGATCTACATACTTTCGTATTTGTTATTAGGGTATTATATTTATAAAAACACGGCTAAGAATCATTGCACATTTTTTTTAATCAGTCAAACTATTTTATGTTACATCTTATTAATGTGTAAAATGTATTAAGACTATATGTTTTTACGTGTTTTGGTGCAAATATCTACTTAAAAATTAAACAAATATGAATTGTGTAAGTTCACATAGCTAATTAAGAAATTAATTTTAAAATTGTATTCTATTAGACTTTATTATTTAGTCGGTGGTTTTATTTATGTTGTGTAATTAACAACAATGTTTCTTGTGTAATTTGGTCTAATGCAATACACATTAAATTTCACAATATGTATCATAATAAAAATAAAACCTGTGAATGCTGTATTTGATATACAGACTTTAAAAAAAAAAAATAACTTAAATCAATCCTAATTGTTTTTTATAACTGTTGGATGATTATAATTTTTTTTCATAATTATGAAGTTATTTTTTTAAATTAAAAAATATTATTCAAAAGATATTTTGTGAGTTCAAAATAGGCAATGACATAACAATATTATCGTTTTTAATAGCTAATATTATGTATTGATAGAATCCATGTGTAAAATATAGACCTTCAAAGGACCCATAATCTACTACAATGGTTATTCAAATACATTTAACATATATACACATGTAAACATGTAAACATTTAAATATTTTTTATGTTTGGTTATAAATTATTTGTATGATTGTCATTATTAAAGCTGTGTACGGATAAATCTTATAACATTATTTGTAAGTAGAAAATTATTCTACTTTTTTGTACGTAAGATAAACGCCAATGTTAAAAAATTAATGTTAACAAAAATAATTAATACCATGTAAACACGACTTCTGAAATCTAATGTGTGAATGTATTATATTATAATATAGAAAAATGTATCTTTTGTAATAATCTTGTTTTTGTTATTGCATGCACAATGCACGTCATGCATGATAATATGTTGCCCATTTCCCCCCAGCACTTATATTTAACTAAATATTTTAAATTTGAAACTACGTTATCCTAATAATATAAGTGAGGAGTTGAGGTTTTATCTTTATAATTATATATAAGTATATTTATATTGCACATTCGTCCTAGAGGAGATAAAAAGTACAAAGTGTGTTTCTATATTGTTGTAATTTGTAACTATACTATACTTGCATATATGATATATTATTATGTAAATGTCTATGGGTGATTTATTATWAGATCTACTTTAAAAAGTCGAGRCTGCGTGGATAATATGAGCTCTTTAAATAAGAAATGTTTAGGTTTCGTAATGGTTTTAATCTATTCTTTTTAACCAGATTTTGTATGCACAATGCAGTGTCGCAACATCCACTCGGGCAGTCGTGGCAGTGCCCTGATAAATGCCTCTCATACTATTTGATGTGGCCTCTAGGCTTCCATAATAAATTAAAAATAATATACTAATAATATCATTAATATTATAAACAAAACAACGGTTAGAATTATAATAGGTAATATAATTACGAAAAATTATAGTTATAAAAATAAACATTTGTAAACAGTATTATTAATATTAAAATTATATTTTAAGATATTAAATACAATTTCGTATAACATACCCAGTTATTTGTTTTCTGGTAAAAAGCATATTGTTTTTTATTCCTAATAAAAAAACGTATAACTGATTTAATTATTATCAGATAATGTTTATTTTGAAATTTGGGGTCATATTCTCAAACCTTGATCTAATTTGTTTTGGTGAGGGGGTGCAGTAACCCCACCCCTAGATATGTCTCTGTTGTGCATGGCCTGCAGATGAGGTCTGGACACGCCGATAGCCAAGACTGACAAAATATAATACATGCACAATAACCGCTAAAAAGTATAAACACCGATGATGCGTATCGCATGTATACATTTGAGATAGGTACATATAACATAATATACTATTATTCTTATATTGTTTATACAATAATTTAATATAATATTAATATATCTTATTAGCATACAGCATGGTAGGTAGGTGTTATACGCGATGGTGCTAAAAATTTAATCTACACTAGTAGGTAATAATATTGTACGTCGTACGTGTAGAACCTATATTGCAGCTGGTGTCTAGCTAAGTATTACACTATACCTACTTATACCGACAGAATATTATAATATTTCATATATTATGTGCTCACACCACGTGGTTATCTACTGGTGTAGGTRCCTACTACCTATACAGTTACATTGACGTTACCGAAACAGGATTTTCGTATGCAGCTGCTACTAATAGATCGATCCATGTTTGGCGCRTCCCCSGGAAAGCCGTCCAATAAAAGGATATAACGTAAACGTATAGTTAATATAATACTATAGATTATAGCTATACAGCAAGAAGTCATGTACCTGTACAAAGCACGTCATCAGCGAGACAGTGAAATATTAATGACTGTACACGCACGCAATGCCAATGTATATAGTGTATGTATCATTGCTATGACGCGATTTTCCATATTTACTTCCCTTGCGTGTTGCGTTTATAAAATGCTGCATCATCGCCGCAGGACTTCCGAGGTCCGAGACCTTGTGTCTCCGGTTCGATCGCATTTCATACCATTTACTTAGAGGTAGGTCGCGGACAAATGTGCCTAAAAATTATTTCTATCAGATATATAGTTTAATGTTCAGTACCTATACCAATTGACAATTACGGAAACCATATTACATATATCCTTTTGTTGATTGTAATGTGCTATAATGTAGTGTGAGTAGCATTTTGGTAGCCGGCAGGTAACACACTACATTAGCTCGGAAAGGTAAAATTAGGTATCGCTAAAAAAATGTTTTTAATCGCTTATCAATACATTTTTAAAGGTTCGATTATTTTTTTGGTAAAAATCAATAGCGTTTCTGGAGCTCAATCAAGGGGGGGGGCTATTTAAAGATTGTAATACATCACAAAATATTGCGARGAATTCAAAATTTTCCATTTATTATTTTTAACCGTACATTAATAATGATTAATGTATTGTTTAGCTAATTATTGCTTACCATTTATTTGCTGTTAAAAAAAAAAAAAATGTATGATACATAATAATATACGTATTTATACTTAAATCCTATAAGGATATAACCGTGGTGAAATCACCAATAAAAATACACCAATGGCCCCCCTCAGCTACATCACTGGTAAAAATCATATAAGTTTTGACTTAATTCTTATTAAGAATCAATGACCTATATATTATAATTTAGGGGTATTATATACACGTGACTGTGAGATTTAACTATTTGATTATTATTATATAGGTACTTGTTCGCATTTTACCTATAATTATATCAAATATTTGATAGTTTCAATGTTTTATTCGCCCTTATATTATATACTTATACCTAGATATTGCATATAGCTTTCATGGGCTTATGGCTCCACCCACCGATCGATTGCTGACGATTTCAAAGTCGATCTCAATTTGTTTAAATTTTATATTTTTATTTATTATACATTAAGTATAACCCGCCTAAGAAGTAATAAGTCCCAGTGAACACTGTCGACAATACAAAATATAATAATAAGGCTAGAATAGTTTAGTAAATATTATGTATATATAGTACCATTAGTGCCTAGTCTATTATTATAGTTGAATAGGTATTATGTATTTTTGTGGATCCTCTGCAGTGTTTTAAGTATAGCTGATATTCATCATAAAACTTTGGATGCCTACCCTGTATCTATGWTACAAGTTTACAACCAGTATGAAAATCGGAAAGTGGTTATAGGTAGTTTGAACCTGGCGGACAATGTGTGCAGTACGTATAGTCAATAAAAAATATTTTCTTTTACTACTAAAAAAGGTAGGCACAGTTTATTTTTCTATTAAATAATCTTTATTAATATTTTATAAAAATATTTAAATAAACCAATATAATATATGATTATAGATAGTTTATAAATGTGATGTATAATTTATTGAATTATAAATATTATATAATTGTTGAGCTACATTTATAAATAAAAAGCTAAAAAAAAATGAATCACTAAACATTTTATAAGCTTTACGCAGAACWCACTAACACTGTCTTAAAATAAAATAATGTATATTATGTTTTATACTAGCACCGAAAATAGTTCAAAGGTGAACGACAACGTTTTTGTGTACAAAAATAAATCAACAAAACCTAAAATGATTCTATACAGTATATTATATTGGTACGCACRTCTTATACTTTTGTGTTTTGAAAGTCCATAAAATTCAAAATGTTATGACTATGACGGGTACTAAAAATTTGTTCACTGATTTTAAAACTTTATTGGCGGAGAACTTACACCAAGTCCACAGAACATCGGTTAATATAACCACTGCTGTACGCTATAAACGTCATAAATCAAAAATGCATAGTTTTCAGGAAGAGAAAACAAAACATTAAAAAATAATCATTCAAAATTGTTGAGAACAATAATATAATCTTATAAATAAATATCATTTAATATTAAATGTACCTACCTATAATTAAATGTTAACTATATAAATTATTATGTAGAAGTTTAAAATCAATTTTTCGTGGTTTTTAAGTGACTTGCAAAGTTGCAATAGTTGAATTTTCTATTTAATAAGACTTAGACTATTAAGGCATGCACTTCGTAGTAAATTTGAATTAAGATGAGCTTACGTGAGCTATACAAAAAAATAAATAAATAAATAAAAATACAAGTAAAAAAATGTTAGATTATAATCATACAATCAGACAAAAATATCAATTTTTGACTTATAAGACATTGATATCATATTGGCATATTATAGTTATTATACGCACCATAGAAATAATAATGAATAAAAAAGAAATTATTATGTTACTGGTATCTGGTATTATAGGTATTTTATAATTTATAATATTCATCGAAATTAATGTTTATTTTTTTAATAAATCCCTCTGTACCCCCAAATGGGCGACCTTACCTCCCACACCCTAAATCAAAGTCTTAATTTGTATATATTTGGTACTTAATATAATAGTTATATGTTGTCACAGTAATGAAAATGTGGTGAAAATAAAAACGTTATAAATTATAAWAGAGTGCGCATATATTGCATAATTTATTATAATAATATAACTGCACATAATATGTAACGTATACCAGCTAAAATGGTAGTGTAACTATGCGGTCTATGACTTAGGTAAATTGGATCACCACATCCGCTTCGAAGAATTGTGATTATCAATTCACAACAATATAATGCAAATATCGAATATGTTATTATTATTATGAATGAAAATCGTCATTTGTTTATTACCAATTTTTGACACTTTAAAGGCATCTGCAGTCTGTCCTCGGTACGCACAATATCAATTTGATTAGATTTTAATAATACCTATTACGGCGATAGCCACCGACCAAGCGCGCCCATTTGTCAATACTTTGGAGAGTGACATTCATAAAATAAATAAGTTGAACACTTTAAGAATCGATCAGATTTATTTTATTAAATAATGAAACAAACATACATCCATATTCCATACTCAGCAGCTAGCTATTACCATATATTTGCAGCTGATTGATCGTCATAGTATTATTATAATTTATTATAGGTACGATAAAAACCTATATGTACACCATTATGTAGTGTTATCATTAGTAAAATTAATTTAGTATTCAAAACTAAAAAATTGCAATATTTTTTCAAAAAGGTGACATGTCACCCCCTTTTACCCACTGACAGGTGCGCCCTTGCCACCGACCCTGCTGCAGTTTATCTACTGACTACTATTATACATACGAGTAGTGCATATTAATGTATTATGATATTAGCTATATGATCATCGATCGAACACGATTTCGACATTGCRTTATTGTCGGACGACGAATGCATCGTATGTTAATAACATGCAAAGGTCAAAGACAATGATATGAGTGTATGATGATGACACATTAGGTAAATTGCAGGAGAGTTCGTTGGTGTTTTGAAATTATAATTTTTAATCTTTTTTTTCATTTCTTTCTAATGTTAAAATTTAAAACTAACAATAATATTAATGTTTCTACTCAATACAAATTCGCCCTGAATG